CACACACGCACACACACAACAGATCGAGGTGCTGGGGCAGCGCGTTCTGCAACTCGAAACTTGGTTTTGCTTTTCCGTTTGTTGTTGTTGTTGTTGCTGCGGGGTGAAATCTGGTTTTCAGTTGACTTTTAGCTGGCAGCTTGAAGTTGTTTTATTTTTTTTTAATTTTTTTCTCCTCTTTTTAGCGCTTTTGCATTTGCATTTTGTGTTGAATCATCCATCGATGCCAGGCGCGTATCTTGCAGATACTTTTTATTTATTTTTCTGTATTTTTTTTCTGTCTTTTTTTTGGGTCTTTGGACTCGCAAATTTGACACTCACTTAAGGCAACCGGTTTTCAGTTCAGTGTCAGGCGCCATTGAAACGCAAACGCGAATGCAATTAGCCCGAAAGTGCCATAATTAACATGAGAGACACGCATCTAATAATGATCATAAATGAATTACGTATTTGATTTACGAGCGTTTGCGCCGGGCCGGCTTAAAGCCAAAATTTATGATAACATGGCCAGAAAGCACTTAAGTCAGCATGCGCTACGTTTTTAACCTCAAGATACGAAATGCGAAAGTGAAAGTGGCCGAAAACTTGCACTCCAAACACACACACACACACACACACACACCCGACCTCAACTCAGGCAGCAGCTCAAACTCTGTCTAAGTACACATGTAACTGTATCTGTATCTGTATCTTTAGCTGTAGCTGGCTTTGTATTTGTATCTGTATTCGTATCTGTATCTGTATCTGCATCTGCATTTGTATCTGTATCTGTGTCTGTTAAAGTGATTTTTATTGCTGGGCACACTGTTTTCTTTGCTCTTTTGTTTCGCATGCTTCAAAATCAAAATTAAATCCTATGAAAACAAGAGTGCTTTAAACAAAGGATGCCCGACTGACAGATGCCCTGTTTTGGCATATATAGAATGTATATACACAGAAACATGTATACTTTTACAGGCAGGCTGTTCTTCTCTTTTCCACAATCTCTACACTCTGGGAAATCAATTCTCAAATCAAAGAAAGAGCTGTTCTTCATCTTTCCTCAAACCTTACACTCTTTGGAAAATCTATTCTCAAAGAACTTCTCTGTTTATTCTGCGATTGTAATGAACTTTTCAGGATTGTATTTAATTGTGTATATATACCGAAAATCTTAAGTCTGGATATTTAGAAACACGAACTAGGATAAGTCTCAGCAGCTCTCTGTTGTTTATTCTATATGAGCTCGAAAATGTCTTCAGCTGCCTGGAAACAGCTGTATATCCCCGTTTTAAACATTCTCAGTGGCTGCAGGGTATGTTAAACACAACAAGCGAACTGCTGCGGTGCTGTGGCAACGTGAGTTCAGCATCACGTTTCCTTTTTATTGCCTGCTGTTTTATTTTCTTATTTTATTTTTATTAAGTATCACAGTTGTTTTTGTTGTTTTCAGTTTTCAGTTTTCATTTGGGGCTGTTGTAATTTTTGTTGTTGTTATTTAATGATTTAAAGATTATGCACGCTCTGCCCGCCACACGGACAAACGGACAAATGGACAGACGGACAGACGGACGGATGTCTGCCCTTTTACAAAGCCCCCCAAAGCTTCAGTTTTCAACTCCTGACGGCCCCTGACAAAACTTTCGCTTTTTTAACACCTTTACTGGCCTTTTTTTTGTTCGCAATAAAATAAAAAGTAAATCTCAGAGAGAGAGAGAAAGAGAGGGAGAAAAAATGGTGTAAGAGCATGTTAATTTGAAGCGAAGGTTGAAGGCGTTAAAATTGCAGATAAAAGTCGCGGTTTGCCGGCTTCAGATCCGTTTTGTTTGGCCAGAGATTTTCGGTTGGCTGTGTCGGGTGTGTGCCGGGTGTGGGGTATATTAAGCTGTAACACTTAATGCGGCATAAGCGAAACATTGTTTAAAGTAAATAATTCATGAGCTGCTTTTCAAATTGAACGCGAGCACATTTTGCGTAACTTGTTAACAGCTAAAACTTTGACAGAGGGATGCTAACCTCTAAGCCATACCCTGTAAAAAGCAGCCAAAAACCGGGAGTATATATTCCACTTGTAAAATCATGTACTCTACAGTCCATATACTCCCTTTCACACAAGCTAAACAGGGCATCCGAATGCATCTGTTTGTCACCCATCGCACACCTGAGATACGAGCGCAAATTGTGTTAGCAAATCATCTTGAATGACGCACAACAACAATTCGCTCGTATCAACAATTTTAACCCATTTTTAATGCACCTCAACTCATAAATATGTGCAATTATTGAAGCTCAGAGACACGCCTCAGAGTCGAACAATAAACAATTTGGAACGACAAAGTAATTGCAATTATACAATAGATAAAGCACAATTAAAATTCAGAAACACGATTTGCTCTTGACTCTCGACTGGAAACTCGTCAAATGTCAAACGTGCAAATGGGTTTGCGATATCTCCATATTTAACTAAGTAATGGGAGACAACAATTCTCAAGTCCGGCGCATCCAGCCAAATACAGAGACTCAGATACAGCTGGAGAAAATACAGATACAGATACATATACAGATACAGATACAGATACAAAATTTGTGCAGTCATGTGAAAAACTGGTTCTGCGATTCTCGAGCAACGATAGATAAATGTTTATAGTAATAAATGCGTGGGAAAAATACTAAAAAAAAACATATACAGCAGCTTTATGGCATATAGCTCTATATATATATATCCAGCTCTCTCTCTCTCGCCTCTCTCTCTCGCCTCTCGCTCTCTCTTTGTTTTTCTCGGAATAACAAGTACAATAAAAATCGCCAGTCAGCGCATAGTGAGAACAAAAGCCGCACAACAAAGCACACACACACACACACACACACAGAGAGATGAAAAGCACTTACACACACTTTTCGTACCTGGGCAAAACTGTGATTTAAGATCTGCAATTAGAGATAAACCGAAACTCATTATAATCAAAATGAGTTATAGAAAGGACGGCGAGACAGAGACAAAAACCGAACAACAAACAACAAAAAAAACACAGCGTACACTGCGCCAAAATATTGCCAAACAATTTAAAACGATTTTTTATACAAGCAACAAACCGAAACTTGAGAAAAGTTAAGTCCGAAATAATTAAAAAAAAAGAAAAAACTAAAAGTAAAAGGAAGGTGGAAAAAAATGCAAGCTGCATCGAACCTGGGTCTCTTGTTTAACAGCCAGGCGCCTTGTAACTTGGCTGTTTATGGGATGAAGAGAGAGAGAGAGAGAGAGAGAGTGAGGGAGAGAGAGAGAGAGAGAGCATTAACATTAACAGGGAAGCAGCATTCATATTGGGAGTGAAGCAATCTTGACTTCCATTTCGAAGTTAATATTAATCAAATATAAAACAAAATGAACTCCCAAAACTGAACCTTAAGCTACGCTTTTTCTTGCCGTGTAACAGACACACACACAGCAGAAGATAATAATTATGACTAGGTGAACTCTTGACAACAACTTGTAAATTGGAGCTCATGTTTTTGTTTTCTATTTCTTGGAAACGCTGTCAACTCTCCGAGATTAATTTAACACCAACGAAAAAATTTAGTTGACCCGGGTCGCTTCTAGGCCGGCGACTAGCCCCGAAGAGAGTCAAATCATGCAAGAAATTTGTTACCGACATTAAAATTACCATCATTATAATGTCTGCTGTCTGCCTGCCTGGTCCCAGTCTCTGTGGACGACGTCTAACACGAAGCAGGAAGACACATGGCCGGTAAAACGGCAAGCGGTAAGCGGCACAAAAAGGCAAAAAGCGATGTGCGGTAATAGAAAATGTCGAAATAGACATGAGCAACAGCAACAACAACAACAGCAACAGCAACAACAACAACAACAACAACAACAACAACAACGGCAATAACAATGAGAGCTGCAAAAGCGGAGGCTAAACTAAAAGCAAACATGAAACACGATAAAGTGAGATTTTTCTGATACTAAACGGTAACACACATGCAATACCCTGTAATTTGATGACTAGTTAAAAATATAAACTAAATATTGATAGCTCAAAAATAACGAAAAATATGACACGTAAGCAAAATACGCTGTAATTTGATGCTCAGGTAAATTCATTGATATGACCACTTGTTAAAAGCTCAAAGCACAAAATTAGCTGTAATATGGCTACTTATATATATATATATATATATATAAAACTTTACGTAACGTAACTTATCATAAGTCACGTAACGTAAGGTATCGTAAGACACGTAACTTATATTATAATCGTTTTATGGATAATACTACTCATATATTGACTATCCGAACTGCAAATCAAATAAATTATTAGAGAGTAAATTAACGCAACGAGCATCACGTCTTAGACATCACATAATGGGCGTCACTTAACGTTCATCACGTAAGGACGCGAATTGTTATTAGATATATTAAAACGATATAACTTTTAAAAAAAGTTGAAGAGTGTTTCTTGTCGATAAATTTGTATGTCACGTAAGAAATCTTTAAATCATTACGTAACGTAACAAATCATAGATCGTTACGTAACGTAACAAATTTTCAATAGATCGTTATGTAACGTATTACATTTTCGATAATGTAAAAAATTTTCAATAGATCGTTACGCAACGTAACAAGTTTTCAATAGATCGTTACGTAACGTAACACTTTTTTGTCAATGCCTCAAGGTTCTACTGGCGACAGCTCTCACTTTCTAGGTGCTACAAATATACCAGCCAAAAATCTAATATTGAACTAATAAAAGCTAAAGCTTATGAAACTTGTAGATCTCATTATGGCACACTAGCACATACAGCCCCTTTGAGTAGTTTCTACAAGGTATCTGGCTGAAACACGAGCGCTTGAATGGAAAGGAAAATGGGCTTTGCAGTGATCGATGATGCCAGAGGTGAGAGTTGACGCTGAAGCTGAAGCTGACGGACAGCAAATAGACAAAGAGCTGGAACTGGAACTGGAACTGGCACAGAAACTGGATTTGGAATTGGAATTTGTAGATGGTATTGGAACTCACCTGCGCATGATGGGCAGCGGCAAGGTGAAGCGTCCATCACTCATCAGCGGTGCGGCGCCCGGCAGCGGCACCGTCGATATAACCGGAGTCAACAGTGGCACGGGCATTGGCACGGGCGCTTGCGGCGGCGGCGGTGGCGGTGGCAGCGGCGGTACGGCCGCCTGGGGCGGTGGGGGCGGTCCGCCGGCGGTCAGGGCGCTGTACGGCGGCGGGTAGTGGCCGTGGCTGTGCAGAATGTCCGGCAACAAGGCCCGAGCCAGGCCCAAGGCAGCCGGATGCGGATGTGGATGATGCAAGTGGGGCGGTGGATGCAGGGGCGGCGCGTGTTGCCGACGCGCATGGTGAGGGGGCAACTGTTGCTGATGCAGCTGCAGCTGCTGCTGCTGTTGCTGGCGGCGCTCGCGACGTTCGCGGCGACGTTGCTCGCGTGTGCGCAACTGTTGCTGCTGCTGCTGCTGCTGCGCCTGCAACTGTTGCTGCTGCTGCTGCGAGCAGTTGCCGTTGCTTAGATCATCCGTTTGGCATTCGGTAGAGGTGAAAGTGCGTGGGGGCGTGGCATTCACATTGATTACTTTGACACTGTTATCAGCACTGGACACATTCACATTATTATTAATACAATTATTATTATTAATATTATTTAGATTATTATTATTATTATTATTGTGGCTGCTGCTGTTGCTCACACTGGCACTTGCAACATGTTGCACATCCACTTGCGTATTTTTATTATTATTGATATTATTATTTAACTTATTTTGTACACTTGCACTAAACACTTTGGTTGCTGGCACACAATTATTAATCGCAACAATGCTGCTGTTGTTGTTGTTGCTGCTGTTGTTGTTGTTGCTGGGGGTGTTGCTGTTGCTGTAATTGCAATTTACGACACAAACAACGTTGTTGTTGTCTTGTGTTGCAGTTGTTGTTGTTGTTGTTACTGTGGCTGTGCTTGTGGGCGACGCGACACAAACCTGCTGATTACCGTTATTAGTACCGTTATTGTTGCTGCCGCTGCTGCTGCTGCCGTTGTTCACTTGTATCGTCAGACTTGGCTGACGCTGACAGGACTTTGTTGCCGCGGGCAATATTGCAATGTTGCTGATGCTTTTGGCATTGTTGCTGCTGTCGCTGCCCGTCTTGTTGTTGCTGAGAAAAACGCTGCTGCTGTTGCTGCTGCCAACTGTTGTTGCAGTTTGTGTTGCTGCCGTTGCTGTTGGCGGCGGCGGCGGCGGCTCTGCAGCCACATTTAGACGCATCGTATCGCTATCGATATCGATATCGCTATCGTTATCGCTATCGTTTGGCGCCTGACTCAGGCGATGCTCGAAGAGACTTTCACTCGCGCGAAATTCGGCATACAACCGTTCGAGTTCTGCCAAACATTTGTTGGGCCGCAGCGCGTCGCTGCTGCTGCTGCTACACGAGTTGTTGTTGTAGCGCCCCCGCGACAACCACGACGTCAATGTTTGAATGTTGTTGTTGTTGTTATTGTTGTTATTAGTATAGTAACTGCCGATTTGACGCACATCTGTTGTGTACGCGCCGAACGTACTCGAGAGACTGATCGCTGCCGAGCGAAACTCGCTTGAACAACCACTGAACGCCGTCGTCGCTGCTGCTGCTGCTACTGCTGGTGCTCTCTCCGCTGCTGACGCGTGCTCTCTTCGACTGCGACTGCGGCTGCGACTGAGAGTGCGATTGGGTGCTGCTGCTGCTGCTGCTGCACAGGAAACAGGTTGATTGACCTGCACTCCAGCTGCGACTGCGACTGCGACTTCGACTCCGACTGCATTTGTGCCTGTTTCCTCGTTTGCTCTGGTTGTTGTTGCTGCTGCAGTTTTCGTTGTTGCCATTTCTTGCTCATCGCCAACGTCGTTGCCTTTGTCGCTGTCGTCGTTGTCTTCTTTGTCGCCGTTTTCATTGATAATGCAATTCGCTCTGCTGCTGTCGCTTTGATTTTCTGCACTTTGTTGTGATCTTGCATTCGTCTCTGTTGGCTTTTGCTTTTGACTCGTTACCGTTGTTGCCGTTTCTGTGTCGTTTATCGCTGGCGTGAATAATGCGCAGTTCTGCAAAGAGCGACAAAGAGATAGAGAAAGAAAGAGAGAGAGCGAGAGAAAACGTCAGCTTTGCATTAGTCAAATGACAAGATTTAAGTTTCAAGCGCTAATTAATGTTAATTGCTGGGGGATTAGCCAGTGGCCAAAAAAAAAAAAGGTGACAGCGGCCACACAGGGCCAAGTAAGGACGTCGACTGGCGGCAGGCTACCAGCAGGCGCATAAATGTGCGCCTAATTGAATTAATTAAGCCAACGCATAAACATAAAATCGTCACAAGTAATTGTTGTTGTTGTTGTTGCTGGTGCTGCTATTCCTGCCTGGCGTCTGCATGTTTGCTGATAAAGTTATTGCTGTTGTTGTTGAGGCTGCATGACTTACTCTCACTCTAACGCTCGCCCGCTCAATCCCTCTCTCATACTAATGTGCACACAGGCAGCAGGCTTAGCGCTAGAGATGAGCGCTTGGCGTGACATATCGAGCACGAAAATGCGTTTGCTTTGCTTTATTTATTAAAGGCTCTAGCTGCTTGTTATAGCAGTATATAATAATATTATTATATTTCAGCTTCTCATCTCTAACCCCCTCCCTCAGCCCACATAACTGTTAGTGTCTGCCTGTGCGTGCGTATGTGAGTGTGTGTGTGTGTGGGCTCTAATTATGTTACGCTGTGTTACTTGCATTAATTACGTCACAGAAATATAATGTGATTTACTGTTAGCTCTAGTGCTGCTGCTGTTGTTCTAGGTGCTGCTGCTGCCTATGTCATTGTTGCTGCTGCTGCTGTTGTTGCTGTTGTTGTTGTTTTGCTGTTCATTCTTGTGCAATAGAGATTGCTGCTAGTTGCAATCAACACAGACCGCCCCAAAAATGACCCAAACTCCCATCTAACGGTCTCTGACTGCAAGCCAACTTCATAATAAATGTTTTGTCATGTTTTCTTTGTTTTTTGTTTTTTTTTGTCCACATGGGTAATTTTAGAGGTTATGTGGGGCATTATGCTATAATTATGTGGCACAGTCATCGTCATAGGCTAAAGCCCCAAGGGTTTAATTAATGTTTTCTGCTCTCAGAACCGGTCTTAAAGTAGTCCGTTTTTTTTAAGTGTTGCAAATAGCAAACAAAGCGAGTACAGGCATTATAAATCTAGCGTACTACCCCTTGGCTTGCACATTGTCCATCGATTGCAACCCCTAAATAACTACCTCTAACTATCCTGTCAATTATGGCGGCAACCCTGCACTACACATATATGCATGTGTACAAATCGAATATGGCAAGGGGGCATATGGCACACAATACACTCAGCGAAAAGGCTTGAATTAAGTAAGAATTAAGCAATATTTCTCAATTGCAAAATTTCAGACTTGAAAAAATTACTTTAAATAAGATTTTCTTTATTTATGCTATTGCGACTTGCATTTGGAATATTTATTATATATATTTCCGTATTCTTTTCTCTGAGTGCATGTGTGTATATACATATAAGCTATATAATTTACTTAAATACGTTCACAGTTTTTCTCTTTGTTCTCCGTTCATTGCTTTGTGGTCAATTTTCCATTTCGCTGACGCAACAACATAAACAAATTATGATAGGAGTCGAGAGATATAAATTTTAAATGCATATTTACGAGTCCATTGTAGACGCTCGTCCCACTGGCAACATAACGGAGCGACCCGCACGCAACACACAGCCCGCACACTGCGCCCCCTCACCCCTCACTCCTCCCTCACTCGAACCGATATCGATACCAATTACGCTGGCAATGTCGATGCTGATGCTAGGCGACATCTGGCGCTCTCTCTTATCGAAGTCGCGGGGCGGCACTCAAGGGCCTAAGTGAAACATTAGCTCTTATCGGAGAGCGCAGTAGCTGTCAATGGGGGGTCGATAATGGACACCCTCCGCTCCGCTCCACCCCTCCTCGCCCCTCCTCATTCACATCAGCCTTGACATCAAATTTGATGGCGCCACATTTGGCGTCCAAGTGCGTGCAGTGTGAGAGGGGGCTGTTGCGCCACCAAGGTGACAATTTTATGAGGCGCCGCACAGACACCAGGGTTGTCGCTGTCGTTGTCACTGTCGCATGTACATAAATCGCACAACAGATAATACCCATTATTATAGGGTACCGGAAAGAACAGTTAAATGACCCTGATTTGATTCAAATAACAACTGAACGACAATTTGAATCCCAGGCTTATGTGTAAAAGAATAACATGAAGTAATAGCCTTATAGACATTTGGCTTAGAACTTATGAATACTTTTCTTCCGATCGATTGGTTAAAGGTTTGTTATAATATAGAAAACTGATTAAATAGGAGTATCTGATATATTCGAACAATTTTGAATCGCGCAATTCCTGAGTTTGGTCAAGATATCCTAAGAAACTGAAACATTTTCGATCGATTCTGCCTATATGCTATAGTAATCCGTTCTCGAAATAATTAAAGAATAAAAGTCTTTTCATTCTTAGCCGAAAATTTTTATGGCAGCTATATGTTATAGTGGCCTAGCCGAATTAAATCATATAGAAAGTCATCGATACTCAGACTCTAATTTATTTATCAGCAGACAGACATGCCCCATATATGTATATTCAAGATCAGAAATACATATAAATACTAGCGGGTATAGCGGGTATACAAAATTAAAGGGCCAAGCGTCGTGGAAATCGGATGAGGTTTTACTGAGTTATGGGGGTGGGAAATCTTGGCCGCTGTCTATATAGGATATTTGAGCGTACCATTTTTACATGAAATTTGACCAAGAATCATGTTACCACATTTAGATACCAAATTGATATAGAAGCCAAGCCATGAAAAGATAACCAAACCTTATGGAAATCGGATGAGATTTGGCCGAGTTATGAGGGTGGAAAATATTGACATGTCTATATAGGATATTTGGGTTACCATTTTCACATGAATTTCGACCAAGAATCCTATTGCCAGATTTTGAGGCCAAATTTATCTGGAGCCCAAACGATGAACAAAAAGTCAAACCTTTTGAAAATCGGTTGAGTTTTGACCGAGTTATGGGGGTGGGAATTTTTGACCTATGTGTATATAGGATATTTAGGGTACCATTTTCACATGAATTTCGACCCGGAATCATGTGTTCAGATTTTGATGCCAAATTTATCTAGAGGCCAAACGATGAACAAAAAGCCAAACCTTTTGAAAATCGGTTGAGTTTTGACCGAGTTATGGGGGTGGGAAATCTAGACTCATGTCTATATAGGATATTTGGGTTACCATTTTCACATGAATTTCGACCAAGAATAAAGTTGCCAGATTTAGATGCCAAATTGATCTACAGGTCAAACCGTGAACAAAAAGACAACCCTTATGAAAATCTGTTGAGTTTTGACCGACTTATGGGGGTGGGAAATTTTGACCTATGTCTATATCCTATTTGAGGGTACCATTTTCACATGAATTTTGACCAGGAATGATGTTGCCAGATTTAGATGCCAAATTGATCTAGAGGCCAAATAATAAACAAATAGCTAAACTTCGTCGAAATCGGATGAGATTTGGCCGAGTTATGGGGGTGGGAAATTTCAACCTATGTCTGTATAGGATAATAGCGGGTCTTGCCCGTAGCACGTTTGGAATAACTTCTCTCAAAGATTTTTGAAAATTAGTTTTAAGCCAACGGACAAATACAGTGAAAAGTTTAGCTTCCCAGCTCTGACAGTATGGGTCAGTCAGTCAGTCTGTCAGTCAGTCAGTCAGTCAGTCTGACAGTCAGTCAGTCAGTCAGGACAAACAGTTTTATATATAGAGATATACCCTATATACGCTTTCTCTGCGTGAATTTCTAGAATCATTCCATTTCATGATATAAATATCGATAACAACATCGATATTTATCGAAAGCAACCTTCACTTACCTGCGATATATAATCGTCCGTGAAGGAGCGCACCAAACGCTCAGCGGGAACATTTGCCGTTAGTTTGGGTTGATCATCATCATCATCATCGTCATCGTCATCGTGTTTAGTTGTTGTTGCTGGGGATCGTTGCGATCTATCACATTGTAGATTGTTCGGCTGGACGGGAGCCAAGCTTGCCCTGGCCGCGCCAACGCCGGAGACGCTCGCCTCGTAGAGGGACTCGTACGAGGGCGGCTCCTTAATGGCCGTGGCCGCCGAGGAACACCATTGGGTGAGTGTGTGCGCCGGACTGCCATAGTAGCTTGGATATGAGTAGCGATTCCGGCTCCGGCTCGTCTTGGCCGCCTCAAAGGCGCAACTAAAACTGGGAAAAGGCACGGGAAGAGGAGCGACGACTCCTGCGGCTGCAGGTGGTGCTATCGATGTCAGTGGTGGGGTCATTGGGGTCAGTGGGGTCAGTGGTGCCAGCTGGCTCAGGGCAGATCGGCTGCAGCTGCCGCTCGTCTCGTAGCTGCTGTGCGATTTGCGCAGCTTGCGATTGAGCCGCATGTCGTCATCGTCCTCCTCATCCGAGGAGCTGGCCGTGGGCGTGGTGCGCTCATAGGGCGTCCAGAGCATTGAGGAGAGCGCCTCCTCAACGTCCGGCGGCCGATGCTGGCGATGATGCGAGGGCGTTGCCGTTGCCGTTGCCCCATGGCTGGGCGTGTTCCGTTCCGACATGGACATGTCTGCTGTCTGGACATTGCTCACAGTTTAGGCTCCTTGCGACGGGCGGTGTCTGTTGGCCGCATGCTGAGCCCAGGCCCTGCCAGAGCGATAAAAAGAAATGAGTATGAGGAAAATCTAACTGGGAAAAACTTTTACCTAAAGCGAATCTCTGACAAATTAAACGCTTCGCAAAATGCTTGAGCACAGAGCCCCAACTTTTCCGGCCGAGCCCTTTTATTTTCCAATTTGATAAATTGCGATTAAAGCATTTAAAAATGCCAAAAAAGAAAAATGAAAACTGTAAAGCAAAACGAAACGAAATACGCCAAGAGACACGAAACATGAAAAACAAGCTTCCGTTTTGTGGCCAAAATATATGCAGAAAAGTTAGCGACGCCAAACTTTTTGGCAGCCTCTTTTGCCCCGTGGCCGGTGCACCTCCCCCCCCCCCCCCCACCCGCACCCCTCACCCTGGCCCAAAAAAAAACTTTGCCACACACACTCGCACACGCAAATAGTTGGTATATAGGCTGCGTCCCATTCGGTTATTCGCATTAGAGCGAGACTCTTTCAGCCAAGTTTAAAGTTGACTGCCAATTTCTGGATACTGAATTGGGAATTCAGCTGGCTGCGTGCTCTGGATTCTCTGGCTCCCGGGGGGGCGAAAAACTGGCACAGAGAAAATGGCTTAACAGCCAACGGACTAAACGGGCAGACATTGAAACGGAAATGGTTGCCCATAGACGTCACTTGAAGCCATTGGGTGCCGTTCCAGTTGCTCTTCTAGCTTCAATTCTTGTCCTTGTTGTTGCCTGCCATTCATGCAACAGCAGCAGCAGCAACAGCAGCAGCAGCAGCAGCAGAGACGGCAGCAACATTCACTGCACACACAAGACGCAGGCAAAGTTTATGCGGCGCATTTCATGATCATTTCTAAATACAGCTCGAACGACCCGACCCAGCTTAGATTTATTTCAGCATTCAGCTCAGCATTTAAGATTAACTTAAAAAAAGTTTTAAAAAAAAAAATTAAATATTTTATAAAAAAAAAAGTATCTTAAAGATTCTCAACCAATATTCAAAATAAATAAATAAAGAAAGCTTTGTAAATTGAAACAATAGATGTTCTCAATATTGATAATAGCTTTTCTCTACCTCTCTCTTTCTCTCGCTCTTTCTCTCGCTCTTCCTCTGTCTCGCTCCCTCTCTCTCTGTTTGTTCTCTCTCTCTCACACTCTCTAACTCCCTCTCACTCGCTCTCTTTCTCTTTCTTTTTAGCTCCCTCTACATCGATTTCACTCTCTCTCTTTCTCAATTTCTATATTTCTCTACTTCTCTATATTTTTCTGTTTCTCCCTTCCACTCTCTCTCTATCCCTCTATTTTACCTTCCTATCTCTATAATTCTTTACATCACTCTCTCTCTCTATCTCTCTACGCCTTTCTCTCTCTTGTTATCTATCTATTTCCCTCACTCTCAATCGGTTTATTTCACGCTCTTTCTCTTTATGACCCTCTCTCTATCTGGATGTCACTCACTCTCAATCTTTCTATTTCACTCTCTCTATTACTGAATTCCACTTTCTCTTCACCATCTCTCTCTCTATGTTTCTATTTCACTTTCGTTCTATTTAACTCTCTCTTTCTCTATCTTTCACTCCCCATCTCCCCCTCTCTCTCTCTCTATCTTTCACTCCCCTTCTCTTCCTCTCTCTCCATGTTTCTCCCTCTATCTCTCTATTTTTCCCCTCTCTCCCTCTGCTCCTCATTCATTCTGTCTCCCTTCCTCTCTATTTTCAATCTCACTCTCTATATCTTTATTTCACTCTCACTGTCTCTCTCTCTATCTCTCCCTATTTTCGTCTCTTTCTCTATGTCTCTCAATTTCACTCCTGGTCCATCTCTTTATTTGACTTTCTCGTTATTCCTTTATTTCGTAATCTCTCTCTCTCCCTAGCTAGCTATTTCATTCTATCTCTCTGTTTCTCCATTAAAAAACTTTAATATTTAAGATCCCACAGACGAGATAATGTGCGTAAAAGTGATGTCTGAAACTTAAAGCATAAAACTTGGGCCGAGCAAAGCCGGGTAACAACTGCTGATTAATTATTAAAAACTTGTGACAATACATACAATCCTCAATATTTCAAAAGTCCAAATCACAAATAAGGCAACATTTTATTTTAATCAGATACCTCGAATTGACAACTGAAATTTGAAGTTCATTTTACTTTTAAGTACGGGAAAATTTGTACTAAAACCCAATTTAAAAAAAGTTTCATCTAAGCACAAAGTTTGGAAGTTTAAAGAAAATGCTATACTAAAAGTAAGAGACTATATAAAATGCCAAGTGAAAGCCACATTGGGTGTAATAATTGGGGAATCAGGATAATGTGCTTGAACTTTCCGATAGATCAAGTTGCCGGCACTTATCATGTGAAGGGCCAGCGTGAGAACCTATTAGCAGCGGCGACCACATGAAGCTGGCTCCTGGAGCTGGCTCTTGGCCGAGACTCGAGCTAAAGTTTTATGTGTTGCATATCCTGAGGCGCTTTGCTGCTCTAATTTTTTGTTCACTTCCGCAGTTTTTTGTGCGCCTTTTTTCTGCTGCTGCTTCTTCTCGCTGAGCTTGGTATTTGGAGTTTGCGACCATTGAGGCCGATGTTTTTGTTATGCTTAAATAAAGATTTGTGTTAGTGTGTTTTTATTCTGTGGCTCGGCAATTGTTGCTCTTGTTGTTGCAATTGTTATCGTTGTTGTTGCTGTTGCTGTTGCTCGGCAAGTTTATGTGCATTGCTGGCCTTCATTGTTGTCATTCCCATTGTTGTCGCTTGGCCAAAATGAAGAAAGGCGCCCAGCAAAAGGCAGCACAAAAGGCGGCCCCACGTTGAAAGCCAGCACACAAATTAATATGTGCAACAATTGTGTGTGTGTGCCAGTATGTGTGTGTGTGTGTGTTTGAGTGTGTGTATAAGACTTGTTATATGCATGTTACCTACTTTTGTGAGCTTTTAATTAACAACAAGTTTGCGCCTCGCACAATGCAAACAAAGTGTCGAAAGCCTTGAAATTTTCACAATTTTCCATGCGGCAGTTTCTTTGTGCCATTTTTAGCAGCAAATGCGAAAATTAATGGAAATAAAAAAACTTTGTCTTATATGTATTTCAATATGAAATAATGCCTGGCTTTAGATGAAGCTTAAGACGTGCGCGGCATGGGATCAATTATTTTAATTAATTTAATTATCTTTGGGATTAGATTGGGATTGATGTAAATGAAATGAAGACTAATCTTGGATTGTGTCTACACTTAGAGATAAATCGAAACTAAAGAAAACTTAAAGAAGCTTAAACTGAAAACTAAAATATCTGAGAATTTATTATTTTAATTAATTTAATTTACTTGGATTATGCCCACACTCAGAAAACTTTGGGATTGATGTAAATAAGGACCTCACTTGCTTACACTCAGAGAAAAATCGAAGCTAAAGATAATGAAAAGTTGTCTGAATAGAATTAAGCTTGAAAGTGAGAATTAAAACTCATTTAAATATGCCAAAATTTCTTAATATAATATAATATAATACCGAACTTAGAGAAAAGTCCCAGCATTTTCTGTAAACTTTCAGCCAAGTTTAAAGTTTCTTAAACCAAGCAACAAGTTTTTAATTCAAGAAATCTTTCCCTAAAAGTATCTTTCTATGCTTCTAAGTACTTTATTGGAAAAACTCCATACTTTCAGATTTATATTTGCATTTTGATAAGTATGTCGAACTTAAAACAAGCTCTTTTATGCTTCATTCAAGAGTTGAAAAACAAAATGAATTGTATTTGAGTTAGTCAAGCAATTTGCTGAGTATGTTGTAAATACTTAAACAAGAAGTGGCCCAAATTATATGAAGCCACGTTAGCTTTCATTTAAGGGAAGCATATCTGTCTATGGAAACAGGCATTCACGCTTCCGACTTCATCATATTCGAGTGCTCACAATTCTCGTTGCTGTCAGCAAGATTTCCGCGCATTTTAAAGAAAATTCCATAAAAGATTTTCTTCAACAAGCGCCGCAATTTGTGCGCGAGCGAAATTAATGCTGTAAATCATAAAAGCAAATAAATAGCAAAAAGGAAAGTCGCAAAAATAAAAAACAAGCAAATCAAATACAAATATTTCGAGGCAAAGTTCTTCTGGAGAAAAACTCCACGTGCTGTGCAAATGTCACGCAAATGAGCAGCAGCAGCAGCAGGAAAAACAAATTTTTGTAGCTGCTGCGCGGAAAATTCAATGAAAATTATTTACGTAAATATATTTTACTTGATTTTTATTTTTTATTTTTGCTATTTGTATTTGTATTTTTTTTTTATATTTATTTATTTGACTAGACGTGCGTCTGTCTGTCAATCGGGACGGGGGCGACGGCTGTGTCCAGGGCTAAAAACTTTTTTCCGCTCTCGGGAATTCAGGCGAGGGGAAAAGTTGTTTTGCCCCGGCGTTGCCATTGACAGCGTTTGTGCCACATTCAGCTGGCAAATTGCTGCCAGTATGTTTGTAATGCAAACAAACTTTATCTAATTAAAGGAACACGTGCTCCACCCACGACTCGCCCTGCTCCAGCTCCAGCTCCTCCCGCTTCTTCAACGTCATCTCCATCTTCATCTCTGTCTCCATCTCTGTCTCCATCTCCATCTCCAGCGACATCTTCATCTTGTGAGCTGCTTTGCATTGATGACGCACTCGAAATGCCTTTTGATGTGTCCTTACCCAACTGCTGCCGCTCCTCCTACTCCTGCTCCTGCTCCTGTTCCTGCTCCTGCTGCTTATTTTGCATTTGCCAACTCGACATATTCGCAAGGCGAGTTCCTGTTCCTGTTTCCTTTGCGCCAAAGTGCTTTGCTGTTGCCCTCTAGGCCTGTCCTCTATCCCAATCGTGAGCTCTCTAGCCCTGTCAACCGGCTGTCAAGTCGGGCCTGAGATCTGTGAGTGTCGCGTGTCGAGTGCCTTTTGAGTTGTTTGTCAATATGTAGACCATTATTCAATCAATATATTGACACACATTTCATTTCGCCCCGCCCCTCTGCCCCGCCCCTTGCCCCAAGGCAGCCAAGTGACGCTCTTCCATCCCCCAGCCCCTCGGCAAAAGCCGGCCAAGTGCTAATCGCAAACAAAGTAGTTTTTGCTTGAGTTCCATTTCGTTTTCGTTCTTTATTTCCCCCCCTTGCCAGCACGACCCGAATTTGATGGCTCGGGGCTGTCTTCGATTGATTCCTCCAATGCTTTGACACACTTCCATATGGCTGACGGGCCCCAGGGACCTTCATTTCCGCTTAACTATTGTGCGTGGCGGCGTCCAGGCCGACTGCCATTTGCCTACCCAGCCCCCCCCCCTTTTCCCTCGCCCGCCTCCCCCCTCAAATTGAATTTGTAGCCCTCTTTTATTTCCTTTCCTTTCCTTTAACTTTACTTTATTTTGTGCCGTAGCTTGCCGTTTCGTGTGTTTTTTAATTTAATTCCACGCTTTTTGCTTGAACCACTTGAAAAGTTTTTATTTTTTTGGTGTAACTAAGCGCCAGGCCGTGGAAATGTGGGCAACGCTGTTGCCAGCCAGAAGTCAATCGAAAAATCAACATTGGCCAAGAGCACGGCCATCAGTCATCAGCCAAAAGCGTTTAAGCCATTTAGACTTTGTTTACTTGCGGCCAGATCATCTCTGTTAAAGTGCTGCCTCTGATAGATGCCCGGAAATAGACTCTGCGGACAGATTTTTACTCAGGCCAAGACTAAATGCGCCTGGCAGCAGGAAGATATGTTGCTCTACACAACGATTCATTTAAATAATAAATATATATATGTCATAGCCCGGCGATTGTCCTTCATGATTGAACTTCATGATATAATAGTCGAATGTTGATAAGAACTTGCTAGCTGCATATTGAAGATTGTGACTGTGGAGTATTTTATGGACAGCCTGGAAAACAAAAAGGTTTCCCATAAAAAAAAAAAAACAAAAATTTGACCGATAATTCCCATGCTTATCATATGATGTAGTAGAACGATATTGGTAAGATTTTATGCCAATTTGAAGAACTTAATAAAACGTCTTATTGCCAAATGTCATCAAGAACTTTCAAGCAAAGTTTTTCAGGCAATAATTCTGCACAGATAGTTCCTATAGCTATATGATATAGTAGTTATATGATTTAGTAGTTATATGATATAGTACTCCGATCCAATCGACTGCAATATAACTATACAATTCCTAGAGCTAAGCTACAAAACTTAGAACAGTTTTCATCAACAAAGCTTTTATGCTCAAAGTCTATTTTGCATAGAAACAGACAGAAGGAAAGAATCGAACTGACCCCGATCAGATATATATAAAATATATATGTATATATATATAATTTTTTTAAGACGCATATATCTTCTTCTTTGCATAACACTTTCTTTGACACACTCTTAATATCATAAACAAGGTTGTACAAATTAAAGCTAATTATTTGAAGCCACAAAAGTTTAAATCTTAAAATATATACAACAAGTTCTTAAGGTGAAAATATAAATTAAATTTTAAATTAAATAAAAATTGGTGATTTATGCAAAATAATAGCAGAGGAAAGGAAGAGAGATTGACTTATAGAAAAACATGTGAGGCGAATTTCTAAGCAGCTGGAAACAAAGCCTTCAGCTTAACGCAATATTCAATTAAACTTTTGCCAGTTGCCCGTTTGCCGGCTTTTTGGGGCAAAAACTCTCGACTTCAATTAAGCAACTATAAACAAGCTGCCAAGCGGGCCAACTGGCAAAAGGTGGCCAGTGGAAAGACAGTTAAGTGTTGCTGCTGCTGCTGCTGCAGCTTGCCCCCGGCCACAGCTCAATTAAACTTACCTCAAAATGCAGTCCAGGCCGGCAAAAGGACTTTAAGTGGCGCGAGAACTTGCAGCAAAAAAAACTTTGTTTTGTTTGGTTTTCTTTTGGTGGCTGCTGCTAACTTTCACTCACAGCTGCAGTTGCCGTGTGGCAGCCGCAGTTGCAGTCTTAATTATGCTAAAAGTGAGGCAAGCAAAAACTGAATATTTACACGGAACGCGTCAATGTCAAAGCCATTAAGTGTGGCAAGTGGCACACTCACAAACACACACACACACACACAGACAAGCACGCACAACAAGTTGATAATATTTGGCTAACGCGGCGTATGCGTAATGTCGCGCGTTTAGTGCATCAATTTGTGGCAGGAAGTAGCTTTCGCTAAAACTCACGTTTGTCTGCGTTTTCGGAATTTGCGGCACGTGGCAGCTGCTGCAGCGACGCGTACGAACTGACTGCCAAAGCTGGCCAAACAGAACGCGAACTTGACTTCAATGGAAAGCCGAAAAACGAACTCAACAGAAAGCGACGCACATTTTGGTGAGTCGGCGCATTGTGTTGCACGTGCAACGGCGGCGCCTTCCAGTCTGTATGTGTGTGTGTGCGTGTGTGTTAGTGTGTGTGTTAGTTTGTGGCCAAATGTTTGTTTACATTTTGCACAGCATCGGCAGCAGCGTGTGGCAGCAGCGTGTGGCAGCCGCATGTGGCAAGTCTCGTGTGCCTGCCATCAATTTTGTTTTGCCTACTTTCGAGAGCTGGCAAATGTGAATTATGACTTTGCAATCGATGTGCAACTTTTGTGAGCCGCCGAAATGCATAAGAGTCTACATCAATTCGGCTTTCAGTTGGGCTTAAATAGGAACCTGCCCCGGCTTCGTCTAGGCCCACATTTGCGGATGCTGCTGCTGCTACTGCAGCTGTCTGCAGTTTAGCTGCAAAATTGAGCAACAAGCTTGTTAAAAATACGTGCAGAATATTAAACAGACACACACACACACACAGCTGCTGCTGCTGCTGCTGCAAGTTGAACATGCCACATGGCTCCGGCAACGCCTCATACATATTTATAGAGTTCTTAGGGCTCTGCTCCTGCCATGAATATTCTCACTAATTTGCTGCCAATTGAATTTGACTTTTGCATATTGTTTAACTCATTTTTGAACCGCACGCCTGAACCGGTTCGCAAGTGGTTTACCAGAGTCACAGTGTCGATTACTTGAGCCGCGTGACTAATTCAAAATCGAGTCGCAATTGATTTGGATTCCATTAAAAGTGTTGTTTTTTTCGCAGCTGCCTGAAACCGCTTTTAAAGCAGCTCGACAACAATCGCATCACAAATATTTCAGCTATAATTCTGATCTAGTATCTTATATTATTTATATTTATTTTGATATATAAATATATTTCCTGAATCAGCAAACTGATTTAATTCACATTCTGTATAGAGTACATATTTAAATGTGTTTTAAACCTGCTTTCAAACCCTTTTTTAATGCCGCCAACCTCATCGCAGCTCAACTATTTAAGCTTTAAATAAACATTTATATTACATATATATCATATATATCTTTTATTAATCGTGATACATTTAAAATAAACTTCGATTCCATGGAAAATAGATAAATACATGGTTTTAAACCAGTCTGAAACCCTTTTTTAAACCCAGTCTTAAACCTCTTTTTAAAACCAGTCTTAAACCCCTTTTTAAGCCCACTTTGCTCCAATTACAACACAATTCAAGTTCTAATTGTAATATTTCATACGAAGACAATTTAACTATTGTCAAACAGCTTGAACTTTTTTAGATTCCCTCGAAAAAATATAAATAAATGTCTTAAACCTGCTCTAAACCCCTTTTAAAGCCGCTTGCAAACAATTACAAAAACGAGTATTAAGGCATTTATTATACACGCGCACCATATTATTATTATAAAATATATTTGCCTAGTCTGTGAACAGTTTAAAATAATTCAGATTCTATTTAGTAGTCAATACTTATTTATCGGGTATACTAAAATTTTGTATAACCTGTTTTAAACCCCTTTTGATAACAGCTTTGCAACGATTACAATACAAGTTTGTAAGCTCTAATTGTAAAATTTCATATTCCATAAACAAATTGAACTTACATAGATTCAATGGGAAAAATATAAATAAATTTCTAAAACCAGCTGGAAGAAATTCAGATTGTATTGTAAAAAAGTACTTTAAACCTGATTTAAACCACTTTTCTTACAATTCCTTTTTAGCAGTCATATTACAAGTATTTAAATGTATTCAGATTTATTGATGAGCTCCGGTATGTGTCTACTTATTCATTATAGTTGAGGTAATGTTCTAAATATGAAGTCGTTTAAAGAAGTTCTGCTTAAATTTTAAAACAAGCTTGTAATCTCTTCAAAATCCTTTTAAGCACATTTCAAAGCGCTTTTCAGCAGTCGTAATACAAGTTGACCTTTATTTATGAGTACATTTTCTACTTATAAGTGAATGTCCTAGTTCAGAAATATCTTAAAGGAGTTCAGTTTAACTATTTAAATTTGTATTATATGCCTTTAAAATCCGCTTTAAGCCCATTTCAAACCGCTTTTCAACACTCGCATTCCACTTATTTAGGCTTAACCAAACTGAATCTGCTGTAAGATTAAGTTGAGTAGATTTTCTATTTAAAACAACTTCAATTCGTTGACTTAGCACATTATCTTACACACACACACACTCAGGCACACTCAGGCACACACACCTTGCACACTTTCATTGGAGTTGTTAAACAAATTGAAGCTGCTGAACAGTCGGCATAGCAAATTTTTATTGGCAAAACTTTTTTAATTATCATTAATGAACATGAAGTGCGCGCTGTGTGGCATGTGCTGACCGAAGAGCCGGCAGCAGCAACAACAACAACAACAAAGACTGCAACAACAACAACAACAACGACAACAACAACAACGACAACTTTCGCATTGCAATTATTTTAATGTTCAATGATGTTGCAGCTTGGCAGCCATCGCAATGATTTATTGCCAGGGAGCTCGTTCTGAAGTTCCCAGTTTGAGTTTGGCTTTGAATTGAGTTTTAGGTTTGAGTACGGATACGAGTTTGAGTTTGGGCTCGGTCTCAGTCTCGGCCTCGGTCTCAGTCTCGGCCTCGGTCTGGGCGTCTTGTGCCCAGGCGTACGCCATTCATTGTGTGAAAGTTGGCAGCACTGGCAATTAGACAGTGTCGGGGTCAGAGGCGGGCCACAGGCCACACTGATAGTCCATGAAACGGCGTTTATGTCTAATGCATTATAATGGCCATGCCGCATAGAAGTCGCTTACACGTCCAAGTTTTATGGGCTTGGCGTGAGGGATTTGCGCTTTCGGCTTCTAGAGTTCATAAAATGTGGCAAAATTGCAATTAGTAAACTGATTGACAGTTTTCACTCGTTGGCAATACCTGACAATAAGTATTTGATTAAATAAATGTGCGGCTATTAAACGTACTTTAAGGGACTATAAATTTTGCAGGCACAGCAATTTTCCATGATTTATGCCTGCCTCAAAACAATTTGCACGCCAAGCAAGCCTCAAACTAGCAATTGTAATGCATAAAACACATCGATATCATATCATTTTAATATATGTATATGGCGAGGCCTAAGCGAAGGGCAAACAGGCACGCATGAATACCTACACGAAAGACACGCACACACACACGCACACCCTATCTACAAAGGCCACACAATTGCACTGCACTTGCCGCAGAAAAAACCCATTTTCCATTTCGTTTTTGCAACCCTGTCCTTGTAATAGAACCAGAAACAGACCAAGAACCCAAACCCCCCAATAACAAAAAAATAATAATATCAGACGGCGCCCGAGCAGGGACCCGGCAACATTTATGACATATGCGCGCGTAGAGGCGGACCGGAGCAGGGGCGTGGCAGGCTATTGAAGCACGGTGGCACGCGTTTTCTAGCAGCAGCAGCAGCAGCAAAAAAGGAACTGTATTTTTTGGTTTTAAGCGATTTCGCTTGCGTGCGGCAACCACAACGACGGCCGACGGCCGACGGCCGACAGCAGCAGCTACAGGCCAAGTTTTCGCCTTTGTTGCCACATTGCCCCACGTAAATGACTGTATCTGAATCCGCAGCTACGCAACCGCACACACACACACACACACACGCACAGAGAGTACCAGCTACGTGTATGTTCGCATTCGCATCCACACCTCAGGCTCTTTTATGGCGCTTGCAGCGCGAAGGTAAACGGCGCGACGGCAGCCGTAAAATTTGGGGGCGGCGTGGGGCGTGGGGGGTAGAAAATGAAAGCCAAGAATTGCAATAAAACATAAAATTGCTGACTTCCAATTCGTTTGCCATTTGGGTTTCGTTTTCCCTTTTTTTTTTGTTGCCCGTGTTGTTCCTTGAGTTTTGCTCAAATGTCTGGGGCATTGTGTGGCGCAAATGCGTGTGTGTGTGGGGTGTATGTGACTGTGTGTGGGGTGTGTGTGTGTGTATGTGAGTGTGTATGGGGTGTGTGGTGTTGTGCGTGCTGCTGTCGGCTGTGTCAGGGCCAAGCTGCGACCGCGTTCTTTTTTTATATTTTATTAGGTTTTATTTGATTTACACTTGTTTTCCGCCTGCGAGCTGCTTGTAAGAGTGTATGCGTGTGTGTGCGTGTGTGTGTATGGGGGGCGTGTCATGTTGGGCGTAAGTGAGCACTTGCTGGCAATCTATGTGAGCAAGTGCAGCGCTTTGTCATCTCAAACGGCGACTGCAAAATCACTAGACATGATCTATGCAATGCAGAAAATGGCAAGAAGAACTTTGATTTCAACTAAGCTGCGACTGGCAAAGTTGTCAGCTATATTCAATTTAATCATTGTCACTTGATTAAGTGTTGTGCAACGCCTTGAAGACACGACCAGTGTTCAAAGGCTTTAAAGTGTGCAAGCATCAAGTATAAATACAATATTAAATACACAGCAACATTTTTGTTATCAATTCTTATCAAAACCTCTACCAAACTCTGCTTTGCAGCAGAAGCTAAAAAGAATCTTATCTCCATCTGATTTACATACTTTATGAGTCCTTGCAT